CCATGGGTTGGGCTATTACTTTAAGATTTAGTTATCTTCATGGATGTAGCATAATGTAGCGCACTCAGGCTCGAACCACAAGGAGCTGCCGAGGTTCATAGACGAAAGGAAGTTTTATCACACAAGCCTGGCAAGAATTAGACAATTCCGGAAGGATGGGACAATTGGTTAGCCCAAAGGATGGTCGAGGCAAAGATGTCATTATTTCGCTTGACGAGCAATCCGTGTCCTTTATAGGAGATGATTTCATCAATTCGAATGTGAAATGGAAATAACGAATTCACCGCTACTTGATGATCCACGAATTTTGTTAAATTAAAGGAGCATTTGTTTTGTCGGCAATGGTCTTCAGATTCTAACAATTTCTAATGCATTTAACAAAGCTCAATACGTCTGCTTAAAGATAGTCTAAGTATAAAATAGTCCTAACCTTTTTATTTACTGCCTACTCCTTTTAATGGCAGGGTATGTTGCGAAATATAACTTCAATGAAGCTGAGATATTTGCAAAACTCTGGACCGCAGGTGTCCGCGGTAGAGAACGAATGCGCTATTGTCCTTTCCGGGGAGTAACGCGTTCACCACCATACCATACGGGTCCTTCGCTTCGCCTGTCTCTCAGCTAGTTCAATTCCGATTTGGGCGCCCCAGATCAATCCCACTGACAGGTGATTGCTGTGGCAAAGATCGATAAAACTAGCTGAGAGACAGGCGAAACGAAGGACCAGCATGGAGTGGTGGTGAATGCGTTACTCCCCGGAAGGGATAATAGCGCGTTCGCTCCCTACCGCAGACACCTGCGGTCCGGAGTTCTGCAAATATCTCAGCTTCATTGAAGATAAAAATAGTACGAAAACGGTGCTGATATATTCGCAAAATTGGTGCCGAGGCCAGATCGAACTACAATTACCCTTTCCCTTGGTTTGCGTACTACACAACGCACCACGGAGCCCCTTCCTCTGCGTTTCTCTCAACTCGATTTCTACCTAACGCTGATATCAACAATCACCCGTTAGCGGGATTGATCTGGAGAGCACAAATTCCTCTCTGCGGTTCATTTTCGGATTCTTGGAATTAATCCAGAATGCCTCTAGAGTTTTGCGCGCTTGTGTTCTCGATTCTTGCGCGAGGATCGTAACCCTTACTTCAAAATCTTCTCCGTTATGTTTCTGCGTGCTATGCGTACCTAGTGGAGTACTTGGCTTACGTTTACCGACTAGGTGTTCTTTTATACGTACGTAGAGTGGTCTACCCGTTTCCCCAATGTATTCGTCCACGCACGCTCTACAAGAGATCAGATAGACTGAACCCGAACTCATGCAGTCACCGTCTCTACCATTGGGACAAACAATTTTGCGTTGCACATAGACGGTCGTATAGGCGGTTACAAACTAGCTGGCGCCTTAGATTACTCGGTGGTATTTCGATTATCATTACCGAATTCTCTAGACTGGCCCTTCTTAAACAGCGTTTTATAGCTGCACTTACTTTATTTGAAATGAAGGGGAGTATAAACGAGACCTTGTTGTCGCTAGAGTTATCGTTGGGGTACCTGTGGTTTCCTTTACACCTATCTCGAGCTACGGTTTCGCAGCCATTAAAAATGGCTAGTTGCCGCGCCAAGTTCCGGGACTCCTCTCTCTATTGTCTTCCTCTGCACACGCTGGTAGCTGTTCGATACATGTTTCTTATAAGCGCCCTTTTCGTGTGAGAGGGATGAGAGGAGAGGTAATGAACTATGTTTGTTTTACTACTGTTTTGTTCTGTTTTTACTACTTGGCTTTCGATACCACTTCGTAATGTAGCTGTTTTCTGATAGGTTAATTTGCACGTTCAAAAATGGAAGCCAGTCTTCTTTTGGTTTCTCTCGGGTGAATTTAATATAGTCTGACTGTGTGTTCAACAACTCGAAACATCTGTCGATTTCTTCTTGCGCTGAACAAATGACCAAGCAGTCATCTATATATCTACAGTAGAATAACGGACCGAGGTCGATTACTGGCGCTTCCACCTTAGACATGAATGCAATGGCAAGGCTTGGAGCCAGTCGTTGTCCCATTGGCAGCCCTCTCATTTGTGCGTAATACCTCTGAAGACTGAAGACTATCTGAAGATTGAGCAGTTTAGACACTCCTTTAAGAGTGTCATCAACTGCTGAATCGAAAAGCCGTACATGTTTATTGCTCCGTCGTGTTGTATAAGGAGCTCGTTTATGGCTTGCATAGCGGAGTCATTCGACACGTTCGTATACAGGGCTGTGACGTCGAAAGAGTCCACCACGTACGCGCTGTTGGGTCGCGCGTTACGTAGACGATCCAGGAACATTTGGGTGTCCGTTGGATGAGCTGGAATGTGCTTCAGCAACTGAGTAAGTATTAGGGTTATTAACCAAACTATTTTATCCGTCGGCCCGTCCACGCAGCTAATGATAGGTCTAACCTTAAATAGCGATGGATCGATAGACACGAGATTATCGCTGGATACTAACTTATAGGTTTTGATAAGTAAGTACAGGACCGGACATGTTGGTAAGTCAATTTTGAGATGATAGATAACTGATGGTTTTAACCCAGCCGCTCTTGCCACTTTAACCCATTCGTTGTTTAACTTTCGGTATTTCAATTTTGAAGACACTTCGGTTGAAATGAGCGTTGCACTCTAGGAAGACATCAGAAGATTACATCTTAACTTTTTCTTCTTCTAGGAAACGAAAATTCTTCGTAAAAATGTCGACGTTTAAAACCTTTTGAAGCACTTTTAGCTCTTACTAAACCTTCATTTATAGGATGTTCCACATGAAAAGTGGGGTTGCTGGGTACCTATGTGCAGCATATAGAGTATAAAGGTACCTATGTGTCGCAGAGACTATATTTAAAGAAAAGAGGTTTGTTGCGATGGTTTCAGATTCCATCGCAGACCCTGACCAAGCTCTACGCCCGTGTAGTTTATACTCTGCAGCCAACTCGTTCTTGAGGAATAAGTGAACTACCGTGCACACCACTATGAGGGTATGGCTTGTTGAAGAACTGCCTAATCTATCGAAAACGGATATACCTTCTATCAACAAGACGACGTCGGTATAAGAAGGGAGACTGGTAGGAACGAAGCTCTACAGGCAATTAAAATCAGCAGCATTTAAAACTTTATTGTGTTCCACAGAGTGATAAAACAAGCACTAGTTGGAGACAGGCGAAACGAAGGATCCGCATGCTGTGGTGGTGAACGCGTTACTCCCCAGAAAGGACAATGGCGCGTTCGTTCCCTACCGTAGCCACATGCGGTTCAGAGTTCTGCAAATATCTCAGCAACGTTGTGGTTGTATTTCGCTTGGTACTCCGCCGTGAAAATTGTAGTAGGCAGAAAATAGAAGGTAAAACTAGTTGGAGATTCCACGAGAAAATTACCACGCCAATAAGGTGTGACAGAAAGTGCAACACTTTCAATCCTTTGAATTTCTTGGATATTATGATTACTAGTTCACTTATGTTATAATGTATTAGCTACTTTTATCATAACAGCTAGAATTATAACAAGGCGAGAAAGGAAGCTCAAACTGAACTAGGAAAAGAGAGTATAAACCAAATGAGAACAAGTACAAAACATGTTGGACTACCGGTATCACTAGAAAAGAAAATTTTCGTTCAATTTCACAAAGTAAAGAGCCAGCAAGAGAAAAACGTATACAGTCGCTTTAAGATAACCGATTCGATTCTTAAATATATGAACGTAATGACTTCAGAGTGAAAAGCTAGACCTTAACGTATTGAAGGATTCTTTAAGTTTTTTAGTGCTAAAATTCGAAGTCATGACTGCGAAAGACGTGGGAATGGTGTGTAAAATCAACAAGATCAACTTAGTTATACATCGCTGCGGACTCCGCTTGATTTCTATGGAAGAACATTGAGTTTTTGCTCATAAATCAGTTGATGTGGCATTGATGGCCCGTCGACGAACATCGGAAATGAGTTGTCGGCAATACACGTGTAGACTCCATTCGCTCTCCTACTAACTTTAGATAATATAAGGTTGTCGGCAATGTATGAGACTTCTGGAGAAGACTCTGAAATAAGCAAATAGGTAATCCTTTACGAAATAAGAATTAAGAAGTTTCTGAACGACTACATAGCTCTCTAGCAACGTATAATCAGTGCGTCATTCATCACTGCGATGAATAACAAGTGATTAGAGCAGTAAAATAACTTAATCCAAGGGTCTACGGTAGCACTGTAGCCAGGGACTACTAATGGAGCTCTAACTGTTACCAATAGCAAGAGTTCAGCCCTTGACAGTGTCACTGAAGTTAAGAATGATTTAGAAGTTGTCCATGGAAGGGTGGGAAGCATTAAACCATTGTCAGATTGCAGAGATTGCCACACCATAGCTGAAGACCTTGTGGCAAATCTGATTGCTCACCGATCCACAAAGCACAGAAACAGCTTGTAGTAGCGAGTTAAAAAAGTTATTCATAAATCTGAGTTTATGGATAGTCAGAAATGCAAGGGTATAGTATTAGTGAATGTGTAAATGTAAAGAAACTGCAACACAAGGGTTTCAGTGGTCCGGTGTGTAATATTCGAGCCCAGGGACAGGATAATGGCGCTTCGATCTGGCCAGGTGTCCATTTTTTGTGGAAATCTCAGCAACACTGTGGTTGTACTTCACATCATACTCTGTCGTGAAAAATTATAGTAAGCAGCAAATAAAAGGTTGGCAACAGAACCTATTTTCATTTCTTCAACTGCCATTTACTGATACATGTATATCCTCCATATGAGAGATCTCGAAGCGCTTAGTCGCCAGAAAAGTGGCGCACCCTCAGGTGGCATCTAGGTGGTTAATCGCGGACTAAAAGCGACTTTTGCTTTCCTCAGACGCAGTTGGATTCAGGGGATGGGCTCCCTCCTTCTGCTGCGCCGATTCGGGACATGTTTTCTGTAATTACAAGGCGTATTCATGCACGAGTGTGTTGGTGTGTTCTGGTTTATGCGGATTATATTATACGAATCAATTCGGTCAAAACCCTGCAATCAAGTGATTGGGAATTAAATGAGAGGCGGTTAGAAGTCGCCTCCACCAAATAAGCTCCATGTCCACTCTGGGAGAGTCTAGCAGGCTACCCGTGAGTATACCCACCCCCACGTTCAGAGCCCAGCAAGCTATACGTGAGTATCAAGACCTGAACATAGTAAAATAAATAGGCCTCATTTTCCTGACACCGAAAGAGACCCGATTAGAAAGCGTTGGATAGGACGAGTACGAAGAGGATGCTAAAATCTCATGGCCATCTAGGCCGCCTAAGTTACAAATGATTAGGGCGACGATCTCTACCTACAATGCAAGCACACTTGCATATGACTCTTCGATAGAAGACTCCATCATTCCAGCAAGAAGGATAAAGTACGACGTCATTGGCCTGGCCGAGACGAGGAGACGCCAGCCTTTCGCCGCCGTCTATGACACCGGAGAAGAACTGTTCCTTGGAACAAGCGACAGTAGAGGAGTCGGCGACATCGGCGTTCTCGTCAACACGAGTTTGGCTATGGACATCGATTCATTCGAACAAAATCGTACGTTTACGATTGCAGAGATGCGGATCAATACCGGCTTTGACAATCCTCACAGTTCAACCATCGAAACCATAAACTGTGAAGAACAACTCCAAGCGTTTTAATGAACTTGGAAAAGTTGTGCAGAGATGGCCACACATTCTTCAAGGTCATCATTGGAGGTTTTAATGCTAAGATTGGACCCAGAAGGATGGCTGAAGAACGTCACGTTGGGATCCACGGATTAGAATGGAACGAACAGGGTGTGCGGCTCTCTGAGTTTATCATGACGACCAGGACCATCCACGATAACTCGCAAATCCACAACACCATCTTCAGCGTGGGCCGTTGGAATCTCCTAGAAGAGAGTACCATAAGAAAATAGGCCATATTATAGTAAGTCAAAGTTTTTACCTAACAATGTCGTTCTTGTCTCAAAATTCTACACGGGATCAGACCATCTTCTCCTTCGTACAAGATTCCATTATTCGTGGAGAACGGAAGAAGCCGATAAATTTTAAAAAAAACACCATAGACTAGGATTCATACAATTTATTAGCCGACTGCTAAGAGATGCCATTTTCGATAACATCGACGAGGAATGGGATTGGCTCATTCAACATCTTCACGTTAGCGCTATGAAAGCCGAGAGTTCGAAAGTCACCAGGAGACGTCTGTCTGCAGAAACACTCGAGCTGATACGGCAGCGTAGAATCGCGCGAGCTGTAGGCAACCGCGAACTAACGTCCGAATTTGCAAAATAATGCAGACAGTTGATAAAAGAAGATCTTAAAGAGAGAAGAGCAGTAGTAACGGTCAAAGCTGCAGAGGGTGGAAAAAGCATTCGCAAAGCCCACCCTTCGCCAGTTACAAAGCTAAGACGGTTGCGCTCCGACGTCCAGACGGAACAGTTACAGCATCCAGAAAGGCAATGAATAAAATCATTCACGAATACTACTCAGATCTTTTCGATAGTCATGTCCACTTTTCGCCATATGAAATAAAGGAGGATGGATATATTGTACCACCGGTTCTCCCTTCTAAAACCCGATATGCTATTTCGTCGGTGAAAAATCGATAAGCACCAGGTCCGGACAAGATAAGACCAGAACACCTGGAGAACCTTCCGCCAGTACTCGTAAACACGCTGGATGGGCTCTTCACACGTTACCTGTCTGAATGCAAGGACCCTACTCAGTGGAAGATCAGCGGCACCAAGACCGTCTTATTGCTCAAGAAAAGTGACCTCCACGATATCGGCAACTATCGCACAATCCGCTTGGTGTCTGTCTTCTACAAAGTTTCCACTCGAGCCTTCCCAAAAAAATAGGTAGAGTACTGGACGTAGGACAGCTATGTGAGCAAGCAGGGTTTCGAAGGTGATTCAGTAGGAGAGACCATAACCACACTATGGCAAGACTCACTGAATTATCGCGAGAGTACGGAAGACCGCTCTGTTTCACTTTCATTAACTTAAAGAGTGCTTTTCATTGAATTGAGATAAAAACATCCATGGAAGCCCTGAAGTGTCACGGAGTCTCTACTCAGTATATGGAGATTCTTCGTGAGCTGCCAAACATTAGCCATGTTACGTATGCCCCATTCGCGCTCCACGGAATGAATATCTCCGAAGGCTCCAGTCAATTCTATCCAGTTCGGAAAGTCAACATGGAGAACTACTTCGCTCCAGAGTTGAGCAAGAGAAAGCATGTGGCCGGGGGAGCTTTCAAGATCATAGAGGATGTAATGAAGAAAGCAAAGAACACCCGACTCCGTGCCCACCTTTTCGGCTCAACGGTACTTCCTGAGCTAATGAATGTGTTAGAAACTGTGGCGTGGGACCGGGGAGGGGGATCCGCGCGAGGAAATCGCGCGAAAATGCGTTTGAAGCGAGAAAAACGCGAAAAACGACCGCCCACTCGATGTGGACGAGTTGTCCGTTCCGAAGCTATAAAACGCCTCCGAACGCGATTTTTGCGCGGTTTTCACTATTTCAGCCGGCTGTCACCTAGTTACACACGCCTGCAAAAAGCCACGCCGGATACTGTAGCCGCGGATGAGTTACCCGCCGAGAATGCATAAAAACGCGATTTTCGCCGCTCCGACATTTCCAGCCGTTTGTTACTGCTACCAGACTGTCTGATGTGCTGCGGACGAAGAAAATGCAACCATTTTTATGTAACCGGAAACTGTTTTCAGTCTCTACTTATGTCGCTAAGTTCCACTATAATATGATATTCGGTAGTACGGTATTCGGTGTCGGTCGAGGTATTGCTAGTGTGCTTCGATTCATTAAGGTCTAAACGCGACGGATTCTAACACGCAGAGATCCGATTTATTCTCTTTTGAACAATTTAGACCTTAATGAATCCTAGAACTGTTTTTGTAGTTTCTAGAAATCTCGAAAATTTAACCTGGTCGCTGCGTAAGCAGGATGAAAGACCATTCAGCGTCATTAAACGCGCAGTCAAAAGCACGATGCTAAAAGTGTACCTTGTCACGCAAGTAAAGGTAGATCCGAAGCTCTGACATACATCAACGATCAAAAATCAAAGATGCCATTCTATACGCCAAACTGCCGAGAATAAGGTGACCCGGACACGTAACGCGCATGAACGACAGCCGATGGACAGGAGCCGTTAGTGAATGGATCGGAAAGTCAACATGGAGTACGAGTTTGCTCTAGAGTTGAGCAGGAGAAAGCATGTGATGTCGTGATGATCGATGGTCATGATAGGATGATCCTTTGCGATGTCAAACTACTGCAGAAAGACCGCCTATACGAAGGTCAGAGTTCATTACTGAAAGCATAGATGAAAGGTACGATGGTCAACGAGTCCCTAGAGCGAGAAGAATCCATTGGGCTCTTGCACGCGACAGGAAAAATGGAAGATTTACTGACGCCCACTCAAGTCACTCGACGGTCACCGGGAGAGCAGGTGACGGGTGATACAAGTGATGTTACCCATTTTCGCATATCGATCAGAACAATTTTTTCACTAGATTCACAGTTTTTTACTCGTCATCCATAAACTTCGGGTTTACGCATGCTTTCCGCTGCCAATTAATTTTCTTTGTTCAAGTTTTATTTACTGCCTAATTTTTTTCATGACGGGGTATAATGTGGAATAGAACCACAATGATACTGAAATAGAGGAAACTCGGAACTCCGGGTTATGTTCGAACACGCGATTTTTTCCGGGGCTTCCGGGGAAGAGTTTCCGGGGATCACGTGTCATGATTTCGATTATTTTTGTTGTGTCTTGACATGTGATTTTTTGTGTTCTTCATGAAATGAATGGTGATCGGACTGATTCGCTTAAGATTCTTAGGAAAACGCTTTTAGTGCTTTCTCACATTTTCACCACAACTAGTCACTAAACTTTGCGGATTCGAGCGAGCTTTTCAGACAAGTTTGGCACCACATTTCTTGTCCTCTCAAAATTAGGTTGCTTATCGGTTCAGCACTTGTTATGTGGTATCTATATGCACTGCACTTTCTTACGAAACGTTTTTCTCAGCACAGATAACTAGAAGAGTAAATTCTTCTTCTGTTTATAAGCTAAAGCTTCTTCAAAAGAATACCTCTGTACCTATGGCACAGAGCATTGAAGTGGACAAGAGCAAGGAAGTTACATTAACTGTGAACGAGTCATGACATTTGTAGTATAATTTTACAGACTGTGAAACCACAAACCTATATCAGTCCCATTTTTCTGCCACATCGCATGTGGCTGAGGGTATCCGAATACCGGACAACGAAGCTCGACACGGTCGCCTTCTCTGGCTGTTCTGGCTTCGCCCACGACTTTTGGGGGTCGAGACAGTAGGACCTCGTAAAAAATTGAGCGGCTTGGAAGTTGAAGTATAGGAGGTGCTTTAATTCGTTCTTACTAAACACCTATTAAAAACTAAATTTGAAAATGGAAAATTTTTCCACTTACAATAAAGAAATAGATATCCCCTTAGCAGTTCGCCGTCACTACCACGCACTTCGCACATGTACTTACCGGCAACTGTAGCGGGTGCCGTGCCAAAATGCAACTTTGCTCGACGATCGCTGATTGTCGCTTCGAAAATCTTTAACAAGTATAATATCATTAAAGAGGATACGATATTACAACAATTTGTGAGAGGAACTCTAAAAGAGATGCAGAAAACTGTACGAAAAGAAGGAAAAGAAAGGAAGGAATCAATAAGAAAATCGATATTCAAAATGAAGTCTATTTTACATCCCAAAAATTTTCTGTGGCCAAGATTGGGTAATTAGTATCTAAAACACAATGATACTGAAAAATCTGCAAAACTCCGGACTGCAGGTGCCTGCGGAGGGAATAGAACTTGCTATTGTCCTTTCCGGAGATTAACGTGTTCACACCACACCGTGTGGGTCTTTCGTTTCGCCCTTCTCTCAGCTAGTTTTTTCTAGCAGTGCGATCAGTAATCATCCCTCAAAAGGATTGATTTAAGAAACACAAATTGGCATTTAAACGAATTAAGGTGAAGCTGTAGTCGAAATCACAACGTTAGCTGAGAGAAAGGCGAAACTAGGAAAAGGCATGGTGCGGTGATGAACCGGTCAGCCCTGAAAAAGGGTAATAGCGAGTTCGATCTCCACTGCAAATACCTGCGGACTGGAGTTTTGCAAATATCTCAGCAACACCGTGGTTACATTTCACGTAATTCCCTGTCTTGAAAATTTGAGTAGGCAGTAAATAAAAAAGCCAACATCGTCCAAAAACAATTTTGTCATTGTAATTTTTCGCATGGTCTGTGGTTCACATCGAAAACCAGCTAGATTCGGCTTTTATTTCCAAGGAGAAGGAGTGGAATGCTTGGATTGGAAGTAGTAAATTACCTTTCCATCACGAAGTCTCGTAAATTCACCGTACTCCACCGGTACTTCTTCACCCACTTTTTCAATTCCACACCTAAAAGTCGTCATATAATCGCTTTATTTTTAGGTTAGATGAGAAGAAAATAAGCGATGTTTAAGGCACTTTTTGACCGTTTGCTTATAAATTCTCCTCATAATCTCGAGGTATAAACATGGTGTTCTAATGCTTCTGCAACCAGAATTCGGTCAAATGACTGCTGTACTAACTATTTTGTTTGTTCTATATTACTTTGCACTAATGAAATGCTTGGTTTTGCAGTCTAACTTCGAAAAAACGTGAACAATAAGAGTAATCTCGTTTTACGACGAACCGGCGCTTGTGGGCACTCCTAAATAAACTGTGAGAAGTACGTGTGAAAAAGTTTCCAAAGTAAATTATTTCCCTTCTACAAGAAATCTACCACAATGTTTTCAATAGTCAGAGTCTATAGGGTTTATTTTCCTTTCCTTTAAACCTGAAACTCACCAAAAATCACCAACAGCAGATTGTAGAGGGACATCTTCGGTGCCTGCGTTACCGATCGGCTTCGCTACGATTGCCAAATTGCCGATGACGCGAACGTTACATGACCCATGTAGACTCAACGCTGTAAACGCAGATGCTGTAAGTGGAAACGAAACTAGTGACTTTAAATAGAAGAAAAAAAGCAAGTAGTATCTACGATTGGCTTTGTCCAGAGTATGTCATGCTTGCTATGGCGATCTGTCATCTCATTGAAATATAAACAAACTAAGGCGATTCTTCTTAGAAACAATCTGTCTGAAGGATCCATGTCACCAGCACGCGATTCCACAGAAGTGGTGTTCATAAGCATACCACCTGATTCCACAATAATTGGAAAACTGCACAATCCCACAAATCGATGTCACGGAAATCGTGAGAGTTCCAAGTTCCGCAAGCACAAGCTATTTCACGTATGTTGTGACGAGAACAAATTATTCCCTGATATTTTGATATAAAATGAGGTATGTGTTAAGTTTTAAACGTTTGTAACTTGACACTTGAATGGCCTGTCGTCACTGGTTGTGCGGGTTCCAGCACAATCTTCATTTTTCGGAGATTTGCTGGCTATGCCGCTGTGGTTCACTGGAGCCCTGAAGTCAGCCTGGCTAAAGTGGGCCCCAGGTCTTCACCACCACAAACAGCCGCAAGCCTTGAGGATCAGAGGAAGATTTGCCACCATGGGACTTTTATACCAGAATGGTAGTGGATCCTGGTATTGGTTTACTCTTAGCTAAGTTTCCTGACGAAAACGCCAAACCCCTTCACAGCTTGTGAGACCCTGACAGGGGATGAATCGCCAGCTGTACATCGCAGTCCAACACACAGGAACACCTCGTAACCACGATGGGGCGGTAAACCTTTGGGAGGAAGCATTAATATTTCAGTGAGTATACTGCAATATAAAATAATAGCTTTTCGACTGCGAAAATTTTAAAGATTAGCTTAACAGTAGTGGACTATTGATTAGCACTGTTCAACAGTTTTTGGAAGAAACATTTTTCCGCAGAAGAATTTCTTGGCTCGTAACAAAGGCATCGATATCGTTTGATAGCTAAACCGTGCACGATATTTCCACATTTTATGGAAGCCGGTGATGCTGAAATCATGTACGTCAATGAAAGATCACCAGCCCAGTTCTACTATCCTGCTATTCATCCATAATTTCATTTGTAGTACTGCTTTCAACTGATCACATTGTAAGATATCCAGCAAGTCATTCACGAAAGCACAACCTTTCATGAAAAAACACTTTTTTAAGAGAATAACAGCGAAAAATGAACTTGCCGAATAACAGTAACAGATAGAAGTTAAGCATCGTTTTGAAGGAGTAAATGCCAGCGATCAATGTGGGCCGGTGTTGATGATTAGTGGGATCAATCGTTAAAATCATGCGATCACACCAGTTGTTGCACGGACTATCTGCTGTCTACTTTACAATCAGCTAGTACTAAACTTTCTTCCAAATTGATCTAGAAGATGGAAGATGTAGCTTTAAAAGCTGTTCTTGCTTATATCAACGAATATTCTTCATGTGAAGTACTAGAGTATAGCTTACCAATATGACATTCTTGTGCATGAGGCAAAGCCACAACTGAAGCTATTCAAGGGCTTCTACTCTCACTGATAACATAGTTTTTATTTTATTTTAATTCTAGTGACTCGAGATCATATATAAACAGTATCCCAGCATTTTTTGCATTTGATTCACTCCCTCGTCTATCCAACATACACGAAGCCTGGGGTTTCGCTCTTTGGGTTCGTTTGCTGCTTGTGGACTTTGTTTTGTTCATAAACGTTTTCAGGTACTGGTCAAAAAAATTTGTCGATCAAGCTTATCTCATCTCCGTCATTAGGTTGAGTGAAAGAGAGGGCGTTGAACGAATCGTGTCAACACCGGAGGAAATCGCTCATCTCAGATCTTCATCACAGAGACAGCCGTGGACTTTTGTGAAGCGGAAAAACTTTCCATTAACAAGTCGAGTATTAATTCAGTTTCAAAGTGATGGAAATCATGGTTGGCTCAATACGGAGTCATACTAGCGACAATGCACGTGTTAGTCCAATCACGGACTTTTCCGCTCATCAGTGATTGCATAGGATGTTTGTAGTCAGAAGGGCACTGCCAGCACTTTCAGTCATCTGCCAGCATTGTCAATGTAGCAGTCGTCTGTCTGTATCGTTTTTTTAAAGTTATTTCTACATTCTAATGCATCAGGTTGTTTTCAAACATAGATTTACTTACTTACTTAGATACTTGGATGGCCCGCCTTCACTGGTTGTATGGGCCCCAGCATAATTTCTATTCTCCCGAGATTTGCTGGTTTACCCATTGGATCCCAGCCACGATGAGGAAGTGAAATGTTGGAATGAAATGAGGAGTACGAGCTAATTAACTACCGATATTTTATTCTACTCTAGATTCAGCATGATAAACCGTCTTCTAATGTTAGGTTGACTAATCACAAGATTACCTGCCGTCACAAGGATCTTCCACCTCGGGATAAAAACTAGCCGCCTAGTGGCATTTATATTGCTACCCACAAAGGTCACTGAGTACTCGTGGGAACGATTTGGGAGCGAACGCTCTACTACAATGATAGTCGGTCGAATCAGTGATCATTATGATTTTATACTATCCAGGTGTAACCATAAAGACAGAAAAGTGAAACGGAAGTCTCGCATGGTGTGGTGATGAACGCGTTAGCCGCCGGAAACGGTAATAGCATGTTCGTTCTCCACCGCAGACACCAGCGGTCAGGAGCTTTGAAAATATCTCATCATCATTATGGCTGTACTTCACATAATACCCTGCCATTAAAAAAGGAAAAGGCAGTAAATAAAAAGTGACGGCTATCCAGATATTTATGTGATCACAAAGCTTTCTTAGATAACAGCAGATAATTATTATCATCGTTTGATCATGAGGGCGAGGTTCATTTAATATTTTGTTCGTTACCATTCCGCACCACGGAAAATTTTTAGCACTTCTATGTTTACTGGTATTCACTATGTATTCGTTCTGATAACGCCGATCCTCACATGCGAATATAAGGTGAGCTTATGCTTCGTTTAAATTATTACGACTATTAGAATCGTATATACTGGGTATTTTAGGCTCCTTCCAAAGAGGACGTCACTTATGCGATTGCCGAATATCCAGAAGGTCATCGGCAAAAACGCGAACCAAGATCTTGGGATTGGATGAGAATTGAAACTGAATACGATCCTACATTCAATATGTGAGTTGCGAAACTGCACTGCTCCATTCTATACAATCTTAGGGGTACAATTCTAACGGGAAGACGTTTTCAATCGCTATATACTGTTTAATGTATGCGGTCACAAAGGCCTGATTGCACGTTGCCCATGAGCTGTTGGTCTTACATTTTATCTCATTTTCAAAAAAGGCACTAAACATACTTGTGAACATAGTTCTATCCCATGTTGTGAAAACACACTGAGACTCTCCGTACGGTATCCACAGAGGACGTTAAACTTCCCAACTAGTAGAGTTTGGTGCGAATATTGACCCTGGAGGGATGGAAGGCTTGGTGGGTCATGAGCACGGGGATCGATTCCACGTGTGTTGCAGGGCGCCTCCGACTACTGCGGCTCAGGCGCCTTGCGAGATACAACTCAAAATTAAATGGGACGTAGTAGAGTCGTTATGGAATATAGATGTGGCCTATACAGCCATATTAGATAAACTCTGTTAAACATGCAAACCTTATTTTAGTAAATAAGACCTGGTGATCGACCGATAGATACGTGGTGCATTTTGCAGCACCTGAACAGCGACGTGCGACTATAAAGCCTGCCTTCGTGGACCTCTAGCAAGCTTTCGAGCAACCTTTTTTCATTACTTAGGCGATAAAGTAACCTCTAGCTCTGAGAGTGATATAGTAATCAAGGACCTATAACTACTAATCGCTTCACAACCTACAGACTCGATGAGGAAAAGAAAGAGGTACTCGAGGATATGATTACTTCGGCACGTGACTATTTCGAAAGCACACTCAAAGTACAACGACTTGGCTCCATTCAATTAAGACCGTAAGCGTTGTTGGTTGATTTGAATACTCATCGTTAACGAGCCAACAGGGGAATATCGCAGCGGTAGTGATGTCGAACATCACGAACACGGTTCTGGTTCAACCTCCCGCCTCGGGATAGCCAATCTTCTCATCCCTCCGATGTAGGGGAAAAATCGCTCTTTGCAAACCAGTTGGAAACGCTCCACTTCGGTTATCTGGCAATGAGAATCGAGTCGACCAGCATTCTAGAGCATCCAAGATAAAGTGAAAATCCTCAAGCAGCAGCAGAAGCCACGTGTAAAAGTTGGAAAACTTTCATGGGTGATGGGTGCGAGGAAAGGAGTCGAATGTGAGAAGTGCTGGAACCCACATAAGTAGTTGTGAAGACAGGTCGTATAAAATATTACAAAATGAGAAAAATATAATTCATCGTTAATGAAACTCACAAAAGTATCACAGCACTAGAGGAAACGGATTCGTCTCATTTTCGCCGAATTAATGAAAAGTCTTTTGAGATAAAAGAGCCCATAGAAGTGCTGGACAACTACAGCGTCCCTCACGACTCTTGCAACAAGTTCGTATTAGAATTTCAGCAATCCAAAATCCAGCGTTGATGTGAAGAATGTTGTTCAGCAAGATGATGCCTGCCTCTTCAATTATTAACACCCACTCTCAAGAACGTTCTCAACAAATTGAAATGAGATAATATGGGAACGAAAATTAATTTTCAGCAACTGCACCACTTCAGCTTTGTTACCGATATTTTGTTAACACAGAGCCATAGCCAGGCATAAAAAGAATATTTAAGTAACGTTGGTGGAAAGATCAGTTTTCTAGTGAGTGTTGGTAAGACGACGTTTATGGAAAACGGCCTATTTCTTATTCCTCATCGACGCTTCACCGGATGATCACCTCCTAACGTTGTAGTTAAAAGTATTGTGATCGATTAGTCAATATAACAAACAGTTATCTCCAGAAGTAGAACAGGATAAAGAGAGTGGTTTGGGGAGCATTCAAGAGCATCAAGAATATAGTGAAGAGAACAAAAAGCACCCTTCTCCGTGCCAACCTTTTCAACTCCATGATTATTCCTACTTTAACATATACTTTGGAAACCTCGTTGCAATGGTTTGAAGATCACTTCGTGCTATTGAAGACCCAGTTGGGATAGCGATTCTGGGTGTACTTCATACTACACAGAAAAACAAATCTGAAATTCCGACCCACTTCAACAATCTAAAATAAAGATTCCGCTATAAACGCCAAAATTTCTTATCGGCTGAGTTGGGCACTTGATAGGCTCTGACATTAGCCACAGCACAGCACCTATAAAAACTAGCTCCCACAGAATCTGAGCCACACAAGAAGAAACAGCACTGATCTGATGATCAAAATTCTTTATGAAGATTATAGAAGAAAAATAGGATGCGCCGCAGGTTCCGTCAGCAAACGAAACCGACCAAACCATTGGCGATAGTGGCAAATGAGACCTTTACTAGTTCATTCTAGGGTCATTCATCGATCACCGTGAAGGTATGTTTTACTCATGGTTCGTCTATAGCCTGATAAGGAATTTTCCTTTAGTTTTAGCTATATTTCAAAAACACAGTAAGGCTATAATAAATCTTTATTTATCCTTTATTGTGGGTTTATACTAAAATTACAGGGCATGCATTGGGGAAGGAACAGTAGATCTCAACAATACATATCAGTGTAGCGTCGATTGCGAGAAAAGATGCGGTGGAGCATTGGCATCGGTGGATGCTCCTTATTTCGCTGTAAGTGCTGTTAACTGTTATCATTTCCAAAATTCCTCCATTGTCAGTGGTCACTGGAAACGTGAATGAATGCAAAGCGATTTTATTACACGTTATTCAATTTTTCTCTTACAGTGCTCACGTGTAATCGAGCTTCAGTACTTAGACGGTTCCCTTGCGTCCTCCCATGTTTTGCCGATAACATCATTCTCTACATTCATTTCATCCTTTTGCAGTTATCATTCATAGAGTATTAGTGTAGTCCACCTGCGGTCCAGAGATTTGAAACTATCGGAGCAACATTGTGTTTAAGCTATATTTGCCTACGCCGGGAACCGAACTACGGAAAATATGGGTATTGCGCGGCGCCTTTAATTAATGCGCTACAACTACACAGAGTTATAGCCAAATTAAATCACATGAAATATGAAAAGTGCATGGTGTCTTTGCTTTTTTCTCTGTAAACTAAAACAATATAGCCGTTGGTTGGCAAAGAATGTCATTTCAGATATAATTCTCTTAAAGAAAAGCATGTTTAAATTTTGCCTTGTGTTTTTCTTTGAATAAATTTTTTGACGATGATGCAACAAAGAGATTTAAAATGTTTGGTAATAGATAGGAAGAAGTTGCGAAAATGTTGTTCATATTGTTCTAGCACTGTTCCTGCAAATACGGACCATGTCCATCAATGCAACGGAATTGGGGAGGTAAGTCAAACAGGACTTATTCTGAACAGCATGATGTCACATGGTACCGTATATTAGTCACCTTAATGTTGATGGACTATAACAGCAGTTCTAAGACGGTCGTTAATCAGATTTTCATTGGTTGCGGTGATGAGGCTACTGTAATTAAAACATCCACACGGTTACTGCAATACCTAAATGCTGACAGTGCTGGTACAAGCTGGCAGTACTAGACATGGCTCACACACGCTTGTATATGTGCCATCTAAAGAGTGCAGTAATGTGGCTCGCACTTCGACTCTTTCAATAACATAATCGAGTGTTGATCTATAGAGACAGACAATGGCATTCAATAGCAAAATTTCTAACATAAAGTTTTAAATAGGAAAATCTTCTTGCCATGAAGAAACACACTGGCGTAGAAATGTCTATGGTCATCAATGTGCTTACCATCTTCTATAATCTGTTCAGGAAAACTGAGAAATGCGGATTTTGTGTTATTTGTATCCGTAAAGGAGCAGAGTTGCGGTCCACTAACGCTGGCATTCGCATCGCATTGTGCACTTGACCAACACACGCAGAGGTGATGAACATCACGTCTTCAGAATCTCTCTGTTCGATCGATTAAAGTGAAACCAGTAACGAATCACTGCAAAAGCAACTGTTTACGTAAGAGAATACAATGACCTTTAGTAGTACCGAAGAGCAGAGCCACTTTTACCACTAGTCAATATGCATCAAATCAACTGTCGTTTTTTTGTACTCATCCATTGTCATCTAGTTAATTTACACTTTATTTTGTTATAGTAGAAAATCTAGAACACCAAATAATGTGGAATTTGCTGCTCGACTTGCAATTCTTTGTTTTAGGCCGATTGCTGGTCACGTGAATATTTGTCTGAGCGCATTCAAAAGTTTCAAAGCACACGAGATCTCACTATGGGAGGCGACCATCAAACATGAACTTATTCATGCTTTCGTCTTTTCGCCTTCACTTTTCCCACTATTTAAAGGTGCTGGAGAGGTGATCAAGTGAGAACAATCTCAATTCATTAGTTACTTTTGTGACTTACGACTGAAATCTAGGCAAAAACTACTACGATTGTTTTTACAATGAAAAAAAAGAGTAGTGAACGACCATGTTTAGTAAGCCTACGAACTCTTTCCTGTGAAAACTCATTCGTCCTAACTTTTCTTGTATTTATTTTATCTATTTGTATGATCCGGCTTCAAATATCGTGCTGATCCAAACACCTCTCTTATTCGACTCGTTCTCCCGCATCTGTTATCATGATGATCTTCAATTTTCGTGTGGGTTTTGACTGGTAGTTGAGGATTTTCCTCTTCACGAGCGTCGCTGAATGCTTGTCTATGTTGCTCTCACAGACTGTTGGGGCAACACTTCATCATGGGTACTTATTGGCCTGTGTGCGATGGATGATGTTTTTACCAGACAAGCCTTTTGCTGACTCCCAAAGGATGGGGAGCTTCGGTGACACTTGTTCGGTTTAAGCCACTTTATTTCTTGATGTATCAAGTTTGCCGTTTCTCCACCAGGTACGGAAAAGCTGCTCGATCTTCGCAGTCATTACTCCATTCTACAACTTTAATTTAGGATACGCTGATTTGTTGTTCCCTAATATGTTTAATTTTTAACGAAGCGCTCTAAAGCCTAAAACGTCCACAAGAAAGGTAGCCAGCCTTTTAAATATTTTAATAGTCTTTACTATTGGTTGTGCCCTGCAACACACACGTGGAATCAATCCCCGCGCCCGTGGCCCACCAAGCATTCCACCACTCCGGGCTGGGCAAACTGGTACCAGACTTGTCTGGGAGGATAGCAGCACTGAATCGATACATCGATAGGCCACCGCGAGTCATTGTAAAGGCCGGATATGCATTCAGTTACCTCCAAACGATGCTTAGTGAAGTCGAATGCATGGCGCATCCTTCAGGGATTGATCAACGCCGAGGGCTTTACCTTTCATCCTTTATTATCGGTTGAGAAAATGTTTATTCAAGAGTGTTAAGTCTGAAGCCAATCAAGCTGACCAATCTTTAGAGAACTTTTTGCTACCACCTTCAAAAGGAGCGCTTTTTAAAGAGGATAAAAAGAGTAGATGACAAAAGAAAATAACTACCCTTTTCTATTAACTAGAATTGATTACTCTAACTGCTCCACTTACGTATAACTCTAAATACTGACTGCGAAAACTGTAAAAAAAATTTACGTAGGCCTTTCTTTGCAAAAACATCAATTCCTTTCTTATTTAATGATATTCAGAGGATCCTTAATTGATATCATTCCTGGTGTAATTCAGCGTTACACGCGTTTTGATTGGGATACCTCCAAAGGAATGGTAATATTTGTTTAAATTGTTCATCAATACAGCCACTAAGAGTTTCTTTTTGACTAATTCTTTCGTCAGTCATTATCGCTTTGCTCAAAGTTGTTCAAGAAAAAAAACCGAGGTTTTCTGCCTCAAGCACCAGATGTATAAGAGGGCATATTGATGCACTGATACAGATCTCTCACGATGTGTACATGATGGTAACGCCAAAAGTTCGGCAAGAAGCCCGTGATCACTTTCGCTGTCCTGACCTGGAAGGTGCCGAGATTGAAAGCCAAGGTGATAGCGGAACGGCTGGATCACATTGGGAGAAACGCGTTTTCGAGGTGATTTTCATAACATTGTACATTCAACTTAACTGCATACGAAAAAAATTTGTATCAAAAATCGCCAATAGCTAGAAACCCTATATTCATCACGTGGCTCCAGCACTACCTATGAAACATCTAGTAGTCCATATTATGCGCTAACACTTAAGAGACTACCACTCAATTGGGGACACTAATTGAAACAGTGACGGGGCCGACAGCACAGTGGTAGTGGAGTCGGTTATTACTGTGATGGTTCGACCTCGTTTCGCGCCCATCGAGCACCCCAGCCCTTTGAGGATAGGGAAATTGGCACCGGACTTCTTCAATTGGCAACGTTCCAGATCTGCTAGCTCAGCACTCCAGGGAGAATCGACTCGACCAGCAACCTAGACATTCAACATGAAATAAAAATCCTCAAACAGCAGCCGAAGGCGCACGTGAAAGTTAGAAGACTCTCGTGGATTATGGACGCCAGGAAACGAATCGAATGTGAGGAGTACTGGAATCTGCGCGATAGACGTGAGGGCGAGTCGTATTAAATAAAAAATAAAAGAGATTGAGAAGGGGCCTGCGACTCCTTTATGAGGAGAGGTGGACTCGTTTTTCAAATAGCAGACCCTAACTGTTTTCTATATTTTGTCAATCATTTCATTCTGCCTTGGAGTTAGACAAGGTAGAGTAACAGAAACCGGTGCCAAGATTGCCGCTGTTCCTGAAGAAACCAAATCACCCTAAAGCAAACCACCCTCTTATCCACAACGACTAGAGAGTGCATGCGCCCTTCACAGAAGAACATCCTGTCAAAACACGATGAGATTTCCACGGAAACAACCTTACGCGACCAATAACAGCATGACTCTGATAAATGAGCAATCGTAAGTGAACAAGTCTTCATGAAATGGTTGATGGAGTACCAGGTTTGAAGTAAGTTTTATGCAAATAATCTTTATGCAGTGAACAGCAAATAGACTCACGTACTCCAAAGAAAGTAAGCTTTACAAAGGTAATGATTCTGGTCTTAGTTTTCTTCACTTAAGAACGAAGCAATGACTGGTGTCAGCACTCAAGTATATGCTCTAACCCGTTTAACATTCGCGCTGTTTGAAGATTCCGGCTGGTACAAAGTGAACTACGAGTGAGCTACATTGTTTTTCACAATGTTAACTTCTTTATGATGGTGAACGCGTTAGCCTTCGGAAAGGGTAATAGCATGTTCGATGTCCGCTGCAGACACCTGCCGTCCGGAGTTTTGCAAATATCTTAGCATCATTGTGGTATAGTATTTTCCATTCCTTTTACGCAAATGCCGACTATAACATTTTGTTACAGTAAAGCCGAGCAAATGTTGTGGGGTAAAGGCCTCGGATGTGATTTTGCAAAAAAGAGTTGCCTCACATGGATGAAAGCCAATCGAGAGAATCCGTATCCATTTTGTAACGTCATGCATGACTCAAGGTTCATACGATTTCTATCTAGGGAAATAGCATTAAAAAGGACTTATCATCTTTTTTAAGCCGTCCCTTATCGCAAGCTTTTTAATAAATCCGTTCCTTTGTCATCTTGGAATAGGAGAAATACAACGCTTTATTAGAGGGTGGAATTACCTACTTCTCGATATAGTTAGATATCTTTTCAAGTAGGACAAAATCCTCTATAAATAATTTCCCAAAGACCAGAAATTATTTTTATGCTTTATAGATGCAGTGCAAATCGTTTGGCGAAAGTGCGTTGTAACTTAGTAGAAGACATGAAGGCTGTACCAGATGAGTACGATTATAATATTCCTAATTTGTACAAGAACAGGAAAGGCAAAACGGTAACCGGGCACGGTCAAGTGGAAGCAGGGGATTTTTGCCCATATTACAGGGTAAGACCTTCTTCAGTTGCTGACAGTATTACCTGTATACTCAAACTACCTGTTGTCACGTAACGTATAGTTCCATGCGTAAGTTCAATTCGCTTGAAATTCCTGTGGTTGTGAAAAACTTCTCCGCTGTTGATTTCCATAACGGTTACCACCAGAAGGATTCCTGAATAGGAGGATAATTGAGGATTTTGTCATTCCACGATGACAGAAATATGAGAAAAGCAACAGATCGATCTGGGCTGACCACTTTTGAAAAGAAATCGAAGCGGCTTCTCCAAGAAAATCGCCTAGCTTTAACCACCATAAAGCTATGATTAGCTATCAATTCGATTTCACTAACTGTCTTCTGGCCCAATTGCTTGTGGTAAAGACCACTAAATGTGGACCATTCTGGTGAATTCTACAGGTTTTCATATTGGGAAAATAAGATTGACATTTAGACCTACGGTGGTGTGTCAAGAGAGGACAGTGATACTCGTTGCACGTTTCCTGGTAACATGAACTACAACAATTATTCTCTAGAAGTGAGTTTAGAGCTCTGAGACTACCACACTCTGCATTATCACAAAAATGAGTCTCTAGTGGAGTTTTTTTCGTAAAAATGATCTGATACTTAAAAGTATTGGAGTACGAAAGCGTCGACACAGTATTAACCTAATGAGGTATGGTGCTGAATTTCTTTCTCAATTATTGATGGACGAATCAATTCTGTCTCATTTGACTTAAAATAGGTATTCTCACCAACGGCGCGTTGTTTTCATCTGGAAGACGGTATTAAAGTGAAAAGCGAACGTGGTACGGTGAAATGGATGCATTCTGTCGGATGCTATGAGGTACGCCTAATCTCGATCAGTCTTCGAAATGGTCTTTCCTCCTCATTTTGGCTAATGGTATATCCGGAGCATTGCATTTCATGGCACAGCTAGGGGCTTATCCCTTAGAAAGGACACCCCAGAATTCAAAACAGCTTGGTGCATTCATCTGGGAGGCTAGCTTTCTGCCAAGAACTGCTGGCGGGCTAGAGCAAAACTAGTCGCAAAGACTAATCGCAAAGCGATGACCTTGCACCTGACCCAACAAAGCTTGCGCCAAGGAGTAGTGATGAGTTTGGACCTACCTTATAACCTGTGTTAAAACTTCAGAGGAAAAGTCGCGCCCAAGAACTCAGACGTTAGCTATCAATAGTTGTAATGACACCTAAAAGACTTCTCGTGAAAATAAAGACGGTCCACCACTACTTCCGCTCTGATCCTTAAGTACTGGTGCTGATCCGTATTCACGAGAGTCGAACCGCATAGTACGTTATATTGGGCGGCTAAAAATGAAATGCTGACAAACCAATTCAAGTACCACGAAAACGTGCATTCAGGTATTTATATGATAATAATAAAGGATAAAGCTCCCGGCGTTGATCAATCCCTGAGGGATGCGCCGTGCATTCGACTTCATTAAGCATCGTTTGGAGGTGATTGAATGCATATTTGACCTTTACAATGACTCGCGGTGGTCTGCCGATGTATCGAGAAAGCGCTACTATCCTCCCAGACAAGTCTGGTACCAATTTGCCGACCCCGGAGGGATGGAGCGCTTGGAAGGCCATGGGCGCGGGGATCGATTCCACGTGTGTGTTGCAGGGCGCCCCCGATCACTGCACCACCCGTGCCACTTTATATGTTATGTTATATATGTGGCTGTAGAAAAAACCACTTTTATGTGTATATGATGTATTTCACCGAAGAATATCGCTTCGATTGTTACAAAAAGTGAAAACGACTTAATTTACCAATTTTCAGACCGTTTGCAAAGATAATCGGCTTCACATCAAAACTCAGAATTCTAAATTCTACCCATGCTATCAAGGTGGACAGTTAATACATGTTAAAAAGGTTTGAGCTCTGTTATGAAGCAACTTTTCTATTACTTTGTTGACATCATACGGTATCTGTTAGCTTCGTGTCGCTTCAATGTGGCACTCAAATAAAGAGACTCCGTATTCAGCGAGTACATGGTGTTGGTACGGTTACGACAAAAATCGTCTGTCCATCATGTACGGAACTGTGTGGGACGCAGTATTGCGCACCCGATAAGAATTTCAATGGTCGAGTTGGTGATCCGACAAGAGAAGCCATTCCATACCATCCGAAGTTTATTATCATGTTTCTCGTTGTTCTGACTCTCCACTAGGGAAAATCCTTTAATACTCTTTTAAACCTGACTTTCTCTCTACGCAAGGCGAACATTACCACTGTAAAGAGAAAAAGTGTAACGTTTATTGCTACATGTGATGAAAAAGACATTTATGACCGTATTAAGTGATATTTAAATGCCATTCGCCTTTCCAAGTCCACTTGAATTCAATGAACCAATAGCGAAATTCAATAAATAGTAAACACTTCTCTTTATAACACAACACATAACTCTTTATAACAAAGCGATTCCGACAAGGAAACGACTTAGCGTGTGGTCCTCATCGTTCTCTCCGATCTCCAATCTTTGACCCGCTTGTGTTGATGGGTGTGTGTGTGTGTGTGTGTGTGTGTGTGTGTGTGTGTGTGGATGTACGTGCATATATATGAGTGCAAATACGTATGCAAGTTTTGTTCAAAGTTTCAGTGTATCCATGTGAAAGTTTTGTAGCAATTGGCAAAATGTATAGTTTCAAATCGTAAAGTAAAAATACCTAACGAAGTTATTGATAAACTGATAGAACACAAAGAATTACCCTATTCTTTATTATCATGCCAATGAAGCAGTTTTCATTGAATAGGATATACAGTCGTATTTAGTAAAATTACCAATATATTATGTACTTACTACTGAAGAAAGAGCGCGTGTGGCGCAGTGGTCGGATGCGCCCTACATTATATACGTGCTATAGATCTCCACCGCCATGGTCCACTAAGCCTTCCATTCTTTCGGATTCGGCAAATTGTTGCCAGACTTGTCTGGGAGGATAGGAGCACTGGCTCGATACATCGGTAGGCCACGGCGATTATTTGTAAAGGCCAGATTGCATCCAATCACCTCTAAACGATGCTTTGTGAAGTCGAATGCATGGCGCATCCCTCAGGGATTGATTAACGCCGAGAGCTTTATCTTTTTATCCTTTTACTATTGAAGAAAACTATTTCTACTAAAAAAATTTTGGAGTGCTTTGAGGATTCTTCCAACTTATGAAGACATGAGTGCTTTTGACAAATTATGTGAACTGCACTAGACTTAATTACACTTGGTGTCCGGAAAAGACTATTATTACAGTAAAACACAAGAATATCACTGTCACACGCGGTGATGAAATGAAATATCCGCCCCTCATTTGTACACCTTGTTGAGATTTATCGCCATAAATTTCTTTTCAGGCTGTACAGGTGATTCTCGTTTCCACTGTTTTCCTTTGTGTCGACGTTTAAAACATGCTGAAAGATTGCTATCATAAAAGTTCATCCTAATGTCATGCTCTCACGCTTAAGAGCACAACATCTATCATCGAGTACTTCAGTTATGCCCGATTTGTCTAGAACATGGAAATCAACATCACCACAAAAGCTGGGTGATTGGGAAAAACTTGTTGCAACGGAGGGTTCACTGCTAGCCCATCAAACTTTGTGCATGGTTAACCGCGTCTGATCAGTTGAATAGAAACTTTCGAAGCAATGCTTTACAACAGCTATTGAAAGAATATGAGGTGACGAGCAGACCCAGTAGCTTTGTCAAAGAAGGCCAGTCAAGGTAGAGAAAACTCGTGGCTAAATTGACATGAGCAAAAAGGTAGCATATGCTTTCTCGACAGCTCTCCAATTATAAATGAAACAAAATCATATAGAAGCATACCGAAATCCCGACATATTAACATCCTAACAGGTCACCCTGATTCAGCCACACAGCGAAATCCTGACGCACCAGCGCACCGACACACTAGTCACAAATACGTCGACATACATCCTCTCACGCAGACACACCTGCACATTAGCACCTTGAGACACCGAAACCATGATACACCTACATCTTTATACAGTGACACCCTGATGCATCGTCATGATAAGACCTACCGAGTTCACATCGTCTCATCCGCGGCTAGACAGTTTATCACAACTCAGCCGCCTGGTATAGGTTCACATAGTATTTAAGTAGGTGACTCATGCTCGTAACGTTAAAGATGAAACTTGTGGTGATCGCATAAAAACATTCCGTTACTTATAGAGACTATTCTATATGCCTAATGAAAAGGCGGTGACAATTCGGAAATAGAGAGTACTTTTTGAAACTTATAAATTCACGAAATCTCCACATTCGGATGTTGCTCCATGGCAAACTTCGCGATTGCCTGTTTCTGTCCTGTTTATGTTTTCCATCGTTGATCAGTGCAGCACTAGCACATGTGAAGTTTTATGGTCCAAGTAACAACGATTAATGAGCGTATTATGATAACGACAAACTATTATTACATTAGCACAATGGAAATTTCGGCTACGTGACTGTGATTCTTGGAAGTCTACGACTCATCAAAACAAGTCATCATCCATTAACACTGCTATTCTACTGGTCAAAGGTGGTTTGAGATCAGTTCTTGTCGCCTATCCACATCTTTGTTTGCGTTCGTTGCACTGATCGCTCAATGGCGACAAGTTTAAATCTAGGTTCAATTATTACTACACGGAATTTTAGTAACTCAGAAAACTGTTCTCAGACTTGCATTGATCCTGATGTCAGGTAGACATCCGTACCATGTATGGTTCCGTGCATTATCGTGTATCTCAAACGGGCACCGGTAAATTATGGCCTTCCTCGTCGCGCACCAGGATTTCTAGGTTAGCAACCGTTTTCAATCAAATACTACGAAAGTTGTAAGCATCTGGTCAACCTCTCTTGGGCGGCCAGCTAAGATGACTGTGCGCTAGGTCTTCCTCTAGTCTGAGCCCCTTTCCTTTTGGAGAAAAGACCATGTGGTTTGAGAAAAGCGCATTTAACTTATTGCTTCCAGCTCAAAGAAATCAACTGAAATGTTGTCATCAGGTCTTCGTTGTCGTCGTTGTTTATGTTGTTGGTCGATGGCTGAAGTTTCGGCGACTTCGCCTTCCTCAGAACACGGACGTATTTTATATTAGAATATTTCCCAGGATCGACCTTCTGTTAACCTCGGCATTGGAATATGAATGCGTCGTTTCGTTGTTCAGCAATCGCAAGGTTTTTAAACAGCATACATTTAATTCCATAGAGAAACACAATACAATACAACATTAGCTGACGTTTCGGCAGTATCGCCTTCTTCAGGGCCTGGAATGGTATGCTGATATACAATCCTAACTAGGCCAAACGCTTCAATAACACTTACAAAAAGACGAAAGACTCTTTGGTAATTACACGATCAACAACTTCTCGAAAAGTAGGCCAAACGCTTCAATAACACTTACAAAAAGACGAAGAACTCTTTGGTAATTACATGATCAACAACTTCTCGAAAAACCCCCCGCTTTTTCGTGACTTCCAATGAGGAAGTTTAGAACAGCTGATTATAGTCGCATGTGGTTGACGACTGCACCATCCCACATCAAAAATCGATGCGAACGTACGGGATCAGGTCGCGTATGACCTCCGGGCATTCGTCCCTGCTATTCATTGTAGGGTTTTTGGCATTGATCCAAAAAGCCTCTAGGAGTTTTCGCGCTGGTATTTTGGACTCCTGTGCACGGATATTGACTTTTACTTCAAAATCGTCTCCGCTATGCTTTTGTATCCTATGCGTGCCTAGTGGGGTGCTTCGTCTTAGTTTTCGTTTGCCATCTAGGTGTTCTTTTATACGGATACACAAAGGTCTGCCCGTTTCGCCAATATATTCATCTCCGCAATTATTACACGAGATCAGGTATATCGTACCTGAACTCATGCAATCACCGTCCCTGCCGTAAGGGCAAATTACGCAATTTGTTGTTCCACACAGACGGTCATACAGGCGGTTACGAACTAATTGACGACGTAGAGTAGCCGGTGGTATTTCAATTATCCCTACCGATTCGAGAAGCTGTTGATCATGTAATTACCATAAAGTTTTTCGTCTTTGTGTAAGTGTTACTGAAGCGTTTGGCCTAGTAGATTGTATATCAGCATACCATTCCAGGCCCTGAAGAAGGCGATACTGCCGAAACGTCAGCTAATGTTGTATTGTATTGTGTTTCTCTATGGAAGTAAATGTATGCTGTTTAAAAACCTCGCGATTGCTGAACAAGAAAACGACGCATTCATATTAGAATATTTTTATTATTCGGTAGTTAAAGTACTAATGAAGATCAAACTTTCAAATAGACGCTATATTGAACAGAAAGGCCACTCACCGTGCTGTTATGAGTGGGAATACCCGTGCGTTGCCCGCTTGGGACGGCAATCGAGACCCACCACTCGGTCAAGAAATTATTTCAAAATAATGCGCCAGGTCACGTGTCATATAGTGAGGCATTCGTCTTTCCGGTTCATATTTGGATTTTCGAAATATATCCAAAACGCCTCAAGAGTTTTACGCGTTGATGTTTTTGATTCCTGCGCTAGGATCCGCACATTCACTTCAAAATCATGGCCGTTGTGTTTTTGTGCCCTATGCGTACCTATAGGAGTGTTTAGACGGATTTTAACTATCCCATCTAGATGTTCTTTTTTGCGGATACAAAGTAGTCTACCTGATTCCCCGATATATTCCTAACCGCATGCGTTACATGAGATCAAGTATATTATACCTAAACTCATGCAATCACCGTCTCTCCCGTTAGGACGGATCATACAGTTTCCTGAGCTGCACAAACGATCATAGAGAGGGTTGCGAACTAACTGACGGCGTAGGGTACTGGGTGGGATGTCAATAATCGTTACATAATTTTCAAGACCACTTTTTCTTAAGCACCTCTTAATGGCGTGGCTTACTTCATTCGATATGAAGGGTAGCTTAAAGGAGATCTTACGTCTGAAATATTGTTTTGGGAAACTACCCAACGTTTTCCTCTAACCCGAGTGGCCTCTACTTCGTAGTCATTGGAAATGGCAATTTTTCGTGCCACGTTTTTCGATACCTTCCTTTCCTCTTCTCCTCTGTACAGGATCCCCTTTAATCTGCCTTTCATATCAAATGAAGTAAGTCACGCCATTAAAAAGTGCTTAAGAAAAAGTGGTATTGAAAATTATGTAATGATTATTGACAT